GCTGAACAGGAGGATAGCGTCATTAGAGAAACTGTAGCAAGATAGCCTAGAATGAACGATAGAATGATATTTGGTACCCCGAACAGTTGAGTGCACGGTATGAAGCTGGAATGGTTTGAATTGCTTCTTGTGCGATAAGGACGCGTATATGAACTGCTGGATCGGTACGAGGAATACCAGAGCTCGTCTAGGCCAAACAGGAAATCGTTGTCACATCATTCCTCATATACAATTTCTGTGCGTTACTTGACAACAATATTGAGGAAATATCACGAGAGGTTAAGGACCAGATCGATCGGTATCGAGAAGCGAATTATGTCGAGCACAGTCGGAAGTATTCTGCAACGACTCTTGACCATAGGGCCTTGGGCATGACGGAACCTGCACTAAATACTGGCACTACATTAATCTGAGGGTTAGTGCTTCAGTTTAAGGCATGTGGATACTCCCTACCAGCAGCACTTCCCTCTTATAAGAGCAATTTCCTCTTTTCGGCAGCAATTCATCTTGCCAACAGCGATTGCTTTGTATCACAAGCAGCTACTTCTTAACTGAGGTGCTGCCATGGTATTCAATGCTGATAGTTTGTCTCTTTGGTCTCGTAATTGAGTTCCGACAACTTGTCACAGCCTACTCAAAATACAAACTCATTCACATCAAGGCACAAATCGACCGAGGTAATACTCAAAGCTTATCTTGTTAATACTAGGGGCCATGCATTCTAGACATCTGTTACTCACGCTCTGCGACCCGTGTTATCTTGCAGGCGGATTCACTGAAATTGCAGTAATAAGGAGCAAGTCTGTATTGCGAGTCCTCGTGATTCAACAAGAGTAATGCCTATAAAAGAAAGGTTCTACGACCGGTGAATTCGCGTTTCTTCTTTTTTCAAATCACACAAACAAAACACAATCCTAGCCTTCAACATCCAACAGCCCAACCAACGACTTTAATCTCACTCACGTAAACTAAAAACATGCCTGCTCCAGCTCGACCCAGACCTCCTAAGCCCTGCCCAAAACCTGACCCTCCTCCTCCTCAGCCCTCTAGAACCGCATGCCTCGGCCAGTTAGGAAAATGTTGAGGTGTTCGGCCGAAGAACTTGCCTGGTGTAAAAAGAACACACTCAAGCAATGGATTTTAAGCACATTGGGGATGGGGAGCTGAATAACACGGGTACTTTGCTTGCCAAGAGCTTAGATACTTAAAAAGAAACATTGATATCGATCATTTATTCTTCCATCAAAGCCCATGCCCATTCGGGAGCGTGCCAGCTCGATGCAGATCTTGCGTGTCTGCATAGGTAGCTCAAGATGAGGGCATGCATTGATTATGAACATCAAGCTACATACATTAATTCTATGATTTTACACCGGACTCATGTTGAACTGCAATGTGCCAAATAAAGGGACATTGTCTATTCTGGGCTTTTCATTACTGTATAGTTTGCTATGTCGACATGGTGTTGATTTCCGAACTAGGTAATCGAAGTCGCGGTAAGTTGCTTCGCCCATTGAGGTGGGGCCTACGGCGCTTTCACCCACTATAAATCCACTGTAAATATCCGGTATTTTCAAGGCCAAACACACTGGCATTGTGCTAAGAGGCCCTTTCGAAATTCCAAACCTTTTCGTAAAAGGAAAACGGAATCTCCTCCCAATAGGTGGAACAGCCAGTTCTCATATAGGCCTAATATATACGTATATGGGAATCTATATCGATGGTAAAGTCTGAGATGCCGTTCTAGCCGTGCGCCGGTGACACAATATCTCGCGAAAGTGGTGTTAGACGCACAGAACCCACCGATATGGTAGGAAACCCGGCTCTCCTTGCTATCGTCGTAGCAAAACAGCAAAGATTGTCGAGATATGGAGCTAGGATAAAGTTAAATCTACTCCACTGCAACGATCGCTATCGTCGATGCTCAGATGCAAGCCCTCTCCCTGATCAATAAGCGAATCGTAGCGTTATTTGCTCCATTCTTGAAACCTTTCGCCCCTTAGTCGGAATCCCCGAACTATTCTTTACATCCTCCCACGAACTGCCTGGCATTTTGGCGAATGACGGTCTGCGAGTTAATAACTCATCACCCACTTCCCGGGCTGTAACGTGGGATCGGGGCGGCCCGACTCCGACATCGTGGCCAGTAATGCCACCCACTCTACTCCTTCCAAATCTCTATGTCAAACCAACAGATCCCAATGCACTCAAGAGTGGTCGCTTAAAACATGGATAATCCACAGTAGGTCCTCTTTTTATGTAATTTGTCGATGATGTGAAGATTGAGATGATGGCGACATCACTCTAGGGGCGAAACATGGTGTTGCAAAACCATCATAAACAAGATATGTAGTCCGTACGCTACAGCGTCTCATCCATTTGTGAAATACCAAGCCTAGGTAGCCTATTACTTCCGAGAGGCTATCATCAGCTACAAGATGGGTGAGTAGCCTCGGGCCATATCGAAGCACGACTAATGAGTTGTTGTTAGCAACCTCAGTTGAGGCTATTCAAGACAAGAGCCCAGGGCTCGACCCCGAGGCCAACGCCGTGTCTCTATCCAGTAGCACCTCGGATCGATTACCCCCGACCACCGAAGAGCAGCAGAAATTAAGGAAAATAGCAGGACGTATCCCATGGGTTTCATATCTTCTCTGCATTGTTGAGCTTGCAGAACGAGCCTCATTCTATGGTTGCAAGACAGTCTTCAACAACTTCCTCCAGTTTCCGCTCCCTAAGGGAGGCAATGGAGCCGGAGCTGTAGCTAAGAACGACCCCAACGGCCATGCGGGTGCTTTGTAAGTTCATTCGATATGTGACTGAACTAACGGTTGACTAACGTTATTGGCAGAAACCGAGGCTTACAGTTTGCCTCGGCCATGGTTCTCCTGTTCAACTTCCTTGCCTATGTCATCCCAATCTTTGGTGCGTGGCTCGGCGACACAAAGACCGGCCGTTTTAGAGCGATCATGTATGGAGTCATCATCGGCGGCGTGGCACACGTTATCATGGTTGGAGGCGCAGCTCCTGCTGTTCTCAAGGCCGGCAATGGGCTTGCGCCGTTCATGGTCAGCTTCTTTCTTCTCGCCATCGGAGCCGGTCTGTTCAAGCCTAATGTTGTTCCTCTCATCATCGATCAATACACCGACCAGACAGAATATGTCAAGACACTCAAGTCTGGTGAGCGTGTCATCGTTGATCCTGAGACCACTATTCAGAGGATCATGTTGATCTTCTATATGTGCATCAACGTTGGTGCGTTTTTCATGATCGCCACAACTTACATCGAGAAGTATGTTGGCTTTTGGCTCGCCTTTCTCCTTCCAGGCATCATCTACATCCTCTTGCCAGTGCTGCTCATGTGGCGGTACAAAACCCTCAAGCGCGCACCGCCTCAAGGATCTGACCTCAATACCTTTTTCAAGATCGTTGGGCTGGCTATCAAGGAGAACAGAGGCAAAATTTGGGCCAAGAACTTTTTTGACTCAGTCAACCCATCCGTTCTTGCTGCGAAGGGCAAGACAGCTTCTTGGGATAGTCAGGCAGTCGAACATGCTCGCAGGACCCTCTCCGCGTGCCAGATCTTTCTCTACCAGCCACTATTCTACCTCAATAACGGCGGTGTTGGTACTGTTTTATCTAATCAAGGAGCGTCGATGACTACCAAAGGTGCACCCAATGATCTGATTCACAACTTTAATCCACTCACATTGATGGTCTTCGCACCCATCATGTCGTTTGTTCTTTACCCTCTCTTGAACAGACACCACATCAAGTTTGGCCCCATCAGTCGTATGACTGTCGGCTATACTTCCGCCATCATCGGAAGCATTGTCGGTGCAGTTATCCAGTGGAGGGTCTATAAAACCTCGCCTTGCGGATACCAGGCTTCAACCTGCGATAGTGTGTCCCCGGTTTCTATCTGGTGGCAGCTGCCTACTGTTATGCTGGGAGCTATCGGTGAGCTTTTTACCGCAGTCACTGCATACGAGATGGCATATGCAAGGGCGCCTGAGGGTATGAAATCTACTGTTGTCGCCATCAATTTGGCAATGCAGGCTCTGTCTTCGGCATTGGCTCAGATCTTGATTCCTTCTATCAACGATCCCAGTCTGATCGTAAGTAAGACTGTCCTTATTCTGGTCACTGGCTAACATATTCTTCACAGTGGGCCTGGGCTGCTCCTGGAATTGCTCTCTTCGTCCAGACCATCATCTTCTGGGTTCGACATCACCATGTCAACGACGAGAAGTTCTTGATTCGTGAGACTTTTGAAGAAGGTGATTCCTCATTTACGGAAAAGAAATAGGTCAGTTTGGGGGATTTGAGTACCAATGAAGCTCAAGCTTGCTTGTAATCCCTCGACTCATATTGCGGCGTGGTTTCAACTTTGAAGCGACTGGCGATTACTCATCAACGCATCGTTGCATCAACCATCAATTTCTCGCCGTCTCATATTCCCTGTGATTGATCAACGTGAAAATTACCACCGCTTCAGCTTGAAGTTTCCGAAACGTCACATGCATGTCGATATGCCATTGTGGTGAGACAAATTCCCAAGTGACTTTTGTTGCATTTTTAGACGATTAGAGGTGATCCTATATCATGTCTTCAGGCCTAGAGACCACCAGTCATTCCAGTTAGAAAATGCCGTCGGACATCGAATACCCTTCAGTGCTTCATATCTTTATAAGCTGAGTCTGTTGTAGCCCTTCAAGTATCAGTGAGACGACCTTGATCCTGATAGCTCGAAAATGGAAAGACCGCTTCCTAGCAGCGTTAGCACTCGTCTCTTTGGATTCAACGAAGTCATCAGTCAGTTTGGTAGTTGTAATCCAGTGCAACTCTCTAGGAACCCCGGGAGATGAAGTCCGTAGGAGTATGGCATAGTATTTCTCCTCCAATCTTACTATTTAAGCAAGAGTCATGCATGCCGGAGGAGTAGCTGTGAAGACTTCAGGAAACTTGCACTGCAGATACACCATCTCACCTTGCTCAAAATGACAACCACGACGCCACCGTTGACTAACCTCGCCGAAGCTGCATCTCAAGCAGGTCGTGGTTCACTTCACGTTGCAGTGTCACTATGGAAGTTCAGCAGCGGCAAACAGGAGCCTAGTCAGGAACCAGCCAAGAGTGGCTTTTCTTTAGCTAATATTGAAAGATCCGACAAGCTTCAGACGTTCTAGGATTATGTCAATCGCAAAGTTGAAGGCAAGCTGAAAGGTTGGCGTAGTGCGAGATTCGCCGAGTGCATGCAAGTGGCAGCATCGGTCTCTGTCATCAAGACTGATGACTTTAAAGTCCAGTTACGACTGGAAAAGGCTTGCTGAAGCTACGGTGGTTGATGTAAGCCACAAAAGAGCTGTACTCGCTCAAGTATACTGACATCTCTCAGATTGGTGGATCTAGTGGACACGACTCTACCACCATTGCTTGGGCGTTCCCTAACTTGAAGTTCATTGTCCAAGATCTTCCTCAACTTCGGACCTCTTTCTATGAGCAGGTACCTGCCGACATCAAGTCCCGGGTCGAATTTGAGCCGCACAATTTCTTGCATGCCCAAAGCACCTAACGGGACGTTTATATGCTCAAGATGGTGCTTCATAACTGGCCTGACGAGTTTGCAGCAAATGTCCTCAAACATCTGGTACTGAACCTTGAGTGTGGTTCACGAGTCCTTGTTGAAGCTGTGGCTCCTCCGAACACAGCCGTACTACCGTTTGAAGCGCTGAGTCATATACTCAATGCTGCAGACATGCATATGTTGCAGTTCTTCAATTCTCAAAAGCGCAGCTTGCAGGACTGGACCACTGTGCTCGCAAAGGCAGATGAGCAGTTTACTCTCACGTATGTATCAGAAGTTCTCGGGTCTGTGCACCAGTTCCTTGAAGTTGGACTTCGTACATAGAGATCAGTAGACCAAGATTGCCAATATGACATCAATTATAAAAGATTGACCGAATCTGCAGAGACGTCTTGAAGGGCCTACCGGTTAGTAATAAATAAATAAGTCAGAATCATCATCCAAGCCTGAGTGTCCTGAATATTTTAGGTGCTGTCTGTTAAAAGAATGCTGCCTTACAGCCAGGAGTTAGTGGCTAGCTAGCATGCAGTAATGAGGAAAACAGAACGATTCTAGGTTAATGTATCAATGTGCAAAAAGTGAGATCCCATTTCTGGGAATCAATGACTTGTTGCGGTTTGTGTGGATCGAACACACGACCTTCAGATATCGGTGATGAAGTTTGGCTTCAGTCTGACGCTCTCCCAACTGAGCTAAACCCGCGACTGAGGATTATGTCATAGTAGCTAGAATATGAGTATGTGTTTGCACACCTTGGGAAGAACGTACCTGGCTGTTGGCCGGAGGTGTCCAGACTTCTGATCATCAAGTACCTTACTTATAAGAGTTCTGACAAGAGATTGTTATTGTCGCGAGCCCCGCTGTTTAAATATTAGACCAGAGATAGTTAGGAAAACGTAACATCATATAGAGACAACGGCCAGGCGATCATTTCGTTGTTTAATTCTCTTTGGCTAATATACAAATTCTATATCACAGATGCTTCAAGTTGAGCTCCCCGTCGACATCCGATTTCCAAACAATACGCTGCATAACCTCGTAAACTATGGATTTTGATTCTATCTTTACTCGTTATCTCTAACATCGATGACAGTTGACTTGAACTTCCTCGCGGGGACCTTGCGTTTGAACAAGATATCAGTCTCGCGGTATGATCGATCTTTGAGCTCAGGAAGGAAGAAGTAGGCTGAGACGAAGCAAATAACTGCAGTTCCTCCCCAGACATAGCCGCACTTGCCACCAAGGTTCCATCCGGTAGGGTTCAGGAGCCGTGAAGCGAGATAGATCATGGGGATCTCGGCAATGTAGTAGGCAGCACGACCAACGCCTGTGCTCAGAGCACGAAGTCGGACAGACGAGGTCTCGGCAATGATTGTGTATGAGATGGGTCCAAGACTACCAGCATAGACGAAGGATATCAATATTCCAAGCACAGCTTGCGTGTAGTTGGTGGCGGTGGTCTGGTTGATTGTGGCTACGATGCCGAGGATGAACAAGAAGGCGACATTGATGATTGTTCCCCAGAGGTAAATGGTACGGCGGCCGAAAGAACCTGTGATGGGGAGAGACAAGATGTTGGCAACGAACTGGAGGCACGAGTTGATGAGGTTGAGCTGAAAGGCTCGCTCGGTTGAGACTCCAGCTCCTGAAATTGAGGTTAGCGGAGCGGTTTGCGGGAACGATCATGAGTGATACTTACGTTCGAAGAAGAAAGTGGCTTGGTTAGCGATCAAGTTACCGGCAAAGTTCTGCGAAGCGTAGATCAAGCAAGTAATGATTGTCCGTCTCAAGTCGGTACCCTTGACGAGGTCGAGCAGAGAAGGGTTGCTACCCTCCTGTTCCTCAATCTCGACAGTACGCTCCATCATGGCCAGCTTCTGGTGAGCTACCTCCTTGTCATTACTTCCGAGGCGCTGAATCGAACGCAGTGCCTCCTCTTTGCGACCTTTGCGAATGAGCCACCATGGAGACTCGGGGGAGAGGAAGACCAGAATCAAGAGCGGGGTCTGCAGGCTAGTATTAGAGGTCGAAAATGATTGATGAAGTTTGGGAAACACTTACTGGGAAAAGCCATTGCAAAGCGAGAGGCACACGCCAAGCCCACTGATCATTCCTCTTATTGTAGGCATAAGTAGCACCAGCCACGATGATGGATCCGATAGACCAACTCATCTGCAGGGTCGCTGTACAAGCGCCACGAAGGGCAAGGGGCACGATCTCGGAAGCATAGGCAGGGGAGTTGGCAATGAAGAAGCCCCACGGTACACCTTCTAAGGCTTGTCCGACGACAAGGAGTTCCAGCGAGTTGGCCTGCAGATCTGGTTAGGCGCCGTCTGGGGACTGGGGTAGGTTGACGACTTACAAAAAATGAGATGAAGATGGTCGCATTCATGAGCATCAGGGCAAAGATTGTTGTCCATCGGTAACCGAACTTGTTGGTGATGGGTCCGGCAAGGAAGACACCCACGAAAGCACCACATTGTCCTGCCTGGAAGAGCGCGCTCTGCCATCTTGTTGGAATGGTCCAACCTGAGCCCTCGACGTGGACTCCGTAGTGTTTCTGGAAGGCGGGAAGAGCGACAAAGTTTCCGTTCAAAAACATATCGAACGATTCCATGACCTGGGAGAACAGACGTCAGTAGCCATTTAGAAATGAGGACTCTTGAGATTTACTGACAATGGTAAAGCACATGATGAATGCCCAGAAGCAAGCCCAAGGATGGGCCTTCGCGGCAGCCCAAACACCCTGCTCATGCTCGCGCTGTTCAGCATCAAAGGCATCATGCATAAGATCGTTGTTCTTCAAGACTTCCTTGTGGTCAAAGTCGGCATGACCGAGCTCGTCCTTTGGCTTGAGGACCTGTTCAGACATCTTGATGACTAGCCTGCAATTGCATCTGCCAAGATAGTGGTCAGAAGCCAAGAAAGCAGGTGACGGTTAAGGTAATTATACATAATCTCTTAGCACGACTCTCCGCATTATGACCCAAACCTTGTCTCAAGCAGATAGGTGGAGTTGTGGAGTTCTCCGTCAGATACGGTCCTTACTATTCTTTGCATCCTATAGGTGCGCGTAACGTTGACTCGGCAATACGGCAGCGGGCAAGTTCCGTCACCAGCGATTCATAAGCCGGGCTGATCCCCGTATCGGGTAGTGTACGAGTTGCGGCTCTGATCGACCAACCGATTGTTTCACTTCTTCGTTCTTCACCGGCTTCGAAAGCGTGTGACATTCGTGACGGGCCGAATGCAACAAGAAACCATGCCGTTGATAGCTAGTCTCCGCATGGAAAGCCTGCGGGGAGAAGGTTGGAGAAGGCCTTATCCCCATGGGCATTGGGGTAATTCCCCACTATGTTGCGCAACGTAGCATCTGGCCTCGGCTTTTGTGGTGTCACTCTGCCCGAGATAATGTGTTTGAAATTTTCCTTGGAATGGACTGGGGCCTCTGAAGCCTCCACGGACCCCATGGGGGACGGAGGTATTGGAGAATAGAGGGGCATGCTCTGTGCGGGGTGGATTGAGGTAAATTTCTACAGCACGATCATCATCATCGTCTCGGGCTTCTCTCCAGATCAGCCTGAGAGTTCTCCGAGGGATATGTCATAAATATTCCTGAACTAGCATAAACCTTGTTATTACATCAGAGGTGCAGTGATGAAGCCAGAGATGTGTACCATTCACTGGCCCTTGATCTCTTTCTTCCGAGCCTTGACATCCCCTTTTATCCCTTTCACCAATCCCTTGACTTCCGATTTGAGCGCTCTCTTGTCCTCCCTTGAGATCTTCCCGGTCTTTTTAGCCGTGTACAATTCTTGAAGAAAGCCGGTCACGATTGTGACTGCGGCTTGGACCGCGCATTTGGCACATTGATCGCCGTGCGTCAGGCTGTCAACGGCGTCGGCAAGACCTTGGAGCTCGGCCTTGGGGCGGTTTTGGAGAAGCTTGTTGAGGTGAGGCGTCTCAGACTGTCCGTGGACTTGGCAGTCGTTGGCGCTTATCGATACGGATGGAGTTTGTGTCTTGGTGTCCGAATGAACCGGTGATGAAGTCATGGTCAAGATCGAGCAGCTTGCAATACAGTAATAATTAAGATAAGATAATAGAATTCTATAGGAAACTCCAACATCTATTTTGCCTCTTTACTTTATATGCTTACAATTTCGGTATTTTGCATCGCAATGAAGGAGCAAGCCTCCCCGTCCATTACCGAGATCACCGAGCGGAGATTTACAGACCAGCCGGAGCTCACAACGGCTGTAGGGTAGTAGATGTCGGTATGATTTGCAAAGGTGCAATACCTCCTACTTTCCGCTTAAGATTATACATACTCTTGAGTTGCTTTCTCATAATACATGACAAGTATAGTTTCTCTGGTCTGAAACTTATGAAACTCGTGTCGCTGCGTGAAAACCCTGCTCTTGCTTTTAAGTTGATGAACCTCATCAACTAGGTAGTGATGAAGGCCCAAATTGTGAACAGCGCTAGCAACAATGAGATGCCTCAATCAACGGTCTCAAACCTCATTCTTCGCTGTTTTCATGCTTGTATACGCTCTACAAATTTGCTCGAGACAAATACTATGACCTCCACCCTAAAATACATTTGTTTAAGATTGAGTGCCGCATAGCCAGCTCTATGACGCAGTGACTCTGTCTCAGCCAACAGTCTCGTCGCTACGCCTGAATTGTAGCGCTTACCAGTCAAAATGGACTATTAACATAGTCCGTTGTCCGCTATCTACATTTCCATTGTCCGGAATGAGGTACATCTGAGCAATTGGGAATTCATATTAAAGCTGGGAATGAGTGCCAAGAAAAATGGACCGGATGTATTGTTAATTGTAGAGAACCATCCGACGATTCCGTATTTTCAGCCGCTCCAACCAAATGTCAGGCCTCAAAGTCCTCGTGTCGGGAGCCTCAATCGCAGGACCTGCGACAGCCTACTGGCTTGCAAAGGCTGGCGCAAGGGTCACAGTAATTGAACGCTTTCCCGCTCTGCGCACCGGCGGACAAGCCGTCGACATTCGCACCGCTGGTGTTTCGGTCATGCGAAAGATGGCAGGGTTGGAGGCTGCTGTGAGAGCCAAGTCGACGCAAGAAGAAGGGATCAGCTTTGTTCGCGAAGATGGCACGCCTTACGGAGTTATCAGACCAACTGGCAACCCGGACCAACAGTCGCTTGTCTCAGAGTACGAGATCTTACGTGGGGATTTATCCAAAATTCTGTTCGATATGACAAAGGACAACAAGAACATCAACTACCTATTTGATGAGCAGATAACGTCGATGCAGCAGAGTGAAAAGATTGCCGGCTCTATCACAGTCACGTTTGCAAACGGTGCGGAAGCCTCGGCGTACGACTTGGTGATTGCTTGCGATGGCGCGACGTCGAGAACGCGTGCATTGGGACTGGGATGTAATGTTGGTGATCACATCGTCTCAACCAACTGCTGGTCGGCCTACTTCTCGATACCCCAGGACGTCCTCAGCGGAAGCAAAATTGGACAGGGATTCAACGCAGTGAGAGGGCGGAATATCAGCATTGGTACGGATCCCGCAGGCTTCAGTCGCGTCTTGCTCATGTGCATGAATCCGAGAGGTAAGTCAGAGAGCGCGGACGCGTTTCGCGAGGCTTCAGCAAAAGGGAACGACGCGCTCAAGAAGTACATTGCGCAGCATTATAGTGACGTAGGATGGAAAAGCAGTATCGCTCTGAAGGAAATGATGAGTTCCAAGGACTTTTACGCGAGTGAGATTGTACAGGTCAAAACACCGACCTTGTCCAAGGGGCGGTTTGTCTTGGTTGGTGATGCAGGATACGCAGCAGGTCTCACAGGCGGTGGAACCAGCCTCGCCCTTGCAGGCGCTTACATCCTGGCAGGAGAGCTGAGCAAACACAAGGGAGATATCACAGCTGGTCTTGAGGGGTATGAGCAACAGATCAGGCCTCTGATCAACAAGATGCAGGTGATTCCTCCGCTCATCACGACAATCTTGGCGCCGCAGACAGCTTGGGGTATTTGGCTGCGCAACAATATTTTCGCCTTGGTCGCGTGGACGGGGCTTGTCGAGTTCGCTCAGCGGCATATTGGCGCTGGCTTTGGCGATGCGAAAGCATTTCCAATTCCCGAGTATGATTGGGAGAACTGAGGGCTGATGCTTTGCATAAACCTAGCAATGCAATATCGATAAGCAAGTTCGTAATGACAAGCACTGATGAAAAGCCAACCGACGCATAAAGAATCACGCCAGTTTATGCTGTGCTGAATAATTGTGCACTGCACCCGCACCAGCCCCTCCATTTCCCAAGTGCAAGCTCCAAGGTTGTGCACCGACGCTCTAACAGATTCAGGAGCTATACGGAGAGTCACAAAGTCACAGCACGCAATTTCTGTCTTTCACAGGGGGCACGCGTCGTTGAGTCCCTCTGCCTGTCGCGCGCTGAACGCGTCAGCACTAACAATTCCTTTCGCGTGTCCATCTGTGGACTGCCTGTGACTTGCAATCAGCGTGCACCCGCCACAACCCCACCGTAGGATTTCGCAAGCCAGTTGCCCGACACTCGTTCTCTTCCGTCACGGCGCGCTAAATTTTGGTGGGCTGGCTCCGAAAGATCGAGAGAGTCGCGCACAATGGACTGGCGTAGATCGCTTAATGCAAAGCCTCGACCGAATCTGAGCTGCATTCGGAGTCTCTGATCACTGTACCCATTGTAGACTCACAACAATAGACATGGTACGGCACATGAGCATTCGGAACTAACATGACTGGCAAACAACTTTATCATTCTTTGTCTAAAATGTACTCTAGCTCTTTGCATCAAAGGACAGTGGTAATCAATATTAACCAAGGGAATGGTTGCCGCATAAACATGCGATGCCAGGTGATAGATACGGGAGATCTTCCCAGTAAACTCAGGTATTCGATTAACTGACAGTAAGGAAATTTTTGCTTGATGTGTTTCTTTTTACATTGACGTGGGCTTTTGACAAACTTAGGCAGTATCAGCATCGTAGTTCTCATCATCAAACGAGGGATCGTCCGAGTTGAGAGGAGCATCGGCATCAGCAGCGCCTGTACCCGCAGCGACGTTAGTAGTCGATGTAGCTGCTGATCCAGTCGCAGTGGTAGTCGCCGCGCTGGTGGGGATGCTGGTTGGAACACTGGTAGGCACAGCTGTGGCGCTTCCAGTGGCGCTGGCGGAAGCTATGCAGGCAGTTCGGTCAGAAGCGCAAGATGTCTGAGTAGAGCCAGACTTTCTGCGGCAGACGTAGTAGGCGTAGTTGCATCGTCGGATGCTCTGCTCGTTTCTCCACCATTGAGCAAGACCAGAGACGGAGGGTCGAGCAAAGGTGCGAGTAGGAGGACCGCCAGCACTTGAAACAGTTGTAGTAGCGGTCTGAGCTGATGTGGCAGAGCTTGTAGAGGAAGACCCGCCCTTGATGCATGCTGCGTAGTTGGAAGCGCATGCCGATTGGTTGGATGAGTTGGTGATTAAGCAGTTGTTGTAAGTGCTGATGCACTTGTTGGCGTTGGAGTCTCTGAAGAGCCAGGTTGGCAGGAAGGGCAGAGAAGACATGGCTCCTCTGCCGGGAGCAGCGGTTGTCGAAGATGCAGCGGCAGCAGTGGTGGTGCTGCTGGGCTTTCCGCCGCCCCGTCCATTTTGAGGATGGGCTGCAACAGAGACTGCAAGGGCAGTAGTGATGAGCTGAAGAGTGACCTTCATGTTGTAGTAAGTGTTGATTACTTTGTAAGTGTATAATTTGAGTTATTCAAGGAGTGGTTGAGAGACAAAGATTGTTGTTCCAGTTAAATGTCAAAGAGCTTTTGAGTGTGAGTGAGTGACTGGATGAGTGCATTCCCAGGGAACTGAGAGGCAGTTATATACTGTTATTCTCATACCATCCATTCGTAACCATCAGTATGCCCTCGAGTCCAGACTTGACGATACCTGACGTAGCGTCAATCTTTCCACGTTCAGGCACCACTCTGTGGCTTGCTCTCATTCCCGTCGGCAGCCACGCCGCCACTGGCCCTGAACCTTATCGACGAATATGCAAGGTCCGATGGTCGTAGGTTTAGAGTTTCGGGTGATTAGCAGTCTGCATACTTCGGTGGTTCCTGAATCCATGACTGATCAACACAAATAGACTCGGGGCGGAATTCCTCAATGCCTTTTCAGGGACAAGTTTACTCAGTCCCTTCGCTTTCCGGACCTGTTTCTCAAATACAGGACCCTCGATCTCAGGACCCCTCATTCCATAGCCGGGGCAAACAGGGCATCGATTGGGTTTTGAGCAGAATCATCGACGATGGACTGGAGATCTCTGTTCGTATTGCGTAGCTGGATGGCCGATTTACCCTCAACCACATCATCATCATGTTGCATCAAGTTCCTGAAAGACCCAGATTTGAGCTGCATTGACCTCATATCTTGCCACCGCTGTGATTGTCGATGGCACACCTTTATGTCATTTGTAGATCCTTTGCTCTCAACCTCCTACGCTGGTGCAGACTGCCCCTCTCGGTGGCTTCCTCCGCAAGGCCAGATGATTACAGAGACAGCCCCCACCAGGTTCGAATGTCGGCCCAACCCGTCAGGGCCAGTCGGGAATATGGAATAGCCGAGACATGTCGACAGCTCTGGGCCAGACCAGACTCGATCTATTCCCGCCTCAATTCCATTTCCGTCTTCGGGTTCTCACGAGATGGTGCCGAAACAGGTTAGAAGAAACTGCCATCCCCAGTTCCCAATCTTTGTAGTTCTCACTGCCTGCAGTCGACAGGACGGCTCTCCAGATTGTGGGAAATGTCTCGGGTAGGTTGCCTTGCTTGATCTTGGTCTTCCCCCTCGAGTTGAGAAGTGATGTTCTGCGTCGGTCTTGCTTCTGAAGAATTTCCAATGTGATGTCTGTAGTGTCAGATCAATGTTAATAGTTGATCATAACAATTGCAGAGAAAAATATCTAGACAGCGATAATATCATTGCTAGCTTCCGATTACGGTTCTTTGTTCCCATGGGCCTTGTGTACACAGAGTTCCAAGCAAGA